CGTTTTTCAACTAGGAGACGGTGAAATAGCGTAGGTGTCGAGGAAGAGGTCGACGTCGTAGAATTTAATAAAATAAGTGACGGAAGAATTTCGCGCATAACGAGTGTCCCAGTGGTATGGAGGCGGAAAATTACGCATTCTCCGTGAATTACTTAGCAAAAAAATTCTTTAACATAATTAGGTACTCGGATGGAACTCATTTAGGATTACAATTCAATTTTTTCAACTGCACGAGGTGCTCTTTTTAAAGTTATAAACCACAGATATGTTTTCAGATTTAGATTTCTTAATACACACATTTCAAGAAATTGATATTTTCGTGTAAAAATACTCACATTTAAAAATTCTCTAGTCGGCCATATTTAAAAATGGAAGCCTGTCATGGAGATGCTTTAAAGATACATCAAAATGAAACATGTGTTCCGATAATGCCTGAAGATAATGTTTTTTTTTTAATTTATATTAATGTATTAAAATTTAAAAATATCCAAAGAATGTTAAGACATCCTTATATAATTCATTCTGATTTTGAATCTATTCTGAAACTTATTCATACATGCGAAACAAATCCTGAATCATCATATACTCATAAAACACTATAATATCGGGGTTTGCTTGGGCCTGTATGCTCAAATACACTTGAGTGGAGTTGGAATTAAGTATTAACTGATTATGAAATGGATTTTTTTCTGAAAACGGAATTAGAGGAGGTATTTCAGTGTTGTAACAGATATTCATTTTATCTCAGAAATTACCACAAAAAGACTTTAATGGTTAACTTGTGATGAAATTAGAAGTCTATTTACCATTTCCAGTCGACTTTACTATTGATAACAAATTCAGTGACCTCTCTTTAGTTTCGGAAAATACAATTCCTCCGGGTGGAAAAGTAGAAAAACGGCTGTATCACTTCTATGGTAAGAAAAATTATCTAATTCATTACAAAATATTAAAACTTTAGGAAAGTTCAGGTATGAGAATAACAAAGCTTCACAGAGGTATCAAATTTCATGACACCATATGTAAAATTTAATACTGAACAAAGACAAAAAGCAAAAAATTATTTTGAAATAGATTTCTGGAAACTAATGATCAATGTTCAGTCTGTTAGAAACCAGAAAAATATTAAATTATATTGTGACGAAGAAAAGTCACAAAAAGCAATAAATACCACTTCCATTACAATATAATTAAAAAAGAATTTAATGAAAAATAAAACTTCTTTATGAAGATACCGATAGTTTCATATAGAGATTAAAACGTGAATTTATGAAAAACAATCCGGACTATTGTGGTGACCGAATTTGAATTAAAATTTTGATTATTAATTTGAATTTGAAAAAAAAATTCAATCAAGAAAAATCGTTAAACATAGGCAACCATGTGCACGTTTAGTTCTTTTTTTTGTAGTTGGTAGTTCTGCTTGGAAATTTAGTTAGAGGGTTGGTCACTTTTGGTTTGTTGTTGTGAGTGAAAACCACTTGCTGAGTTAGCTAGGTTAAGTTTTTTAAAAATCTCAAAAAACTTAAAATTTGCGGTAGCGCCATCTTTGGACTTAAATTTGAACTATTTCAACGACAACGAATATAACCTCAAAATTTTGAATATAGTTTTATGGTGCGGTTCTCACATTTATATTTTATGCTGCAGTTGTCAGCATAGTATTGGTAATATTATTCATTAAAGAAATTTATAAAAAATAAATTTATTTGATTTATGTTAAAATTTCAAACGACGACGATGCCAGTTTCCCCAACACGCGTAGCTACTTCTTGCGATTTTTTCCAAGCGGAAATAGCTGAATTTTCAACCGTAACATGTACGTAAATTTGTTTTATTGTTTGTAAATTCACAGTTCATGTTCGGAGTTTAATCGTTAACTAGTTCTAACACAATTTAACAGTCAGGAATTTGTTTAGATCAAGTACTTGCTAAGAAATTTCATAAAATTCACTAACTCAGGATTCGCCTTGTTCAGGAAGTTATGAATAAGGCTTCTAGATGCTTATATTTACGTATTAGATTACAACACTTCTTGATTCCTCACACAAAATTGCTAATAGTTCATTAATGGGCAGTTAAACTTAACCCAACGTTATCCCACTCTGGGAAAAGGACCGTGGAAAGTCCGGTAGAATTCATAATATCGTGGACATGTTTTTCTCGCAACGCAAAAAATTACGAGGAATGCATTTTGTGTTTATTTATCATGTGTTTTGTTTGGGATAAGCTGGGGACAGTCCACGATATAAACTCTCAAAGCTAATTGTTTTAAGTAACCAATCACTTGGATCAATGCATCATTTCACATCAAGTAAATTCTTTGTTTGAATCGTTGATAAAGTGTGGTATAATTTAACGCAATGTAAATTCTTCGTTTGAATCGTTGATAAAGTGTGGCATAATTTAACATTAGGTAAATTCTTTGTTCTGGCAGCGGCCATGTTGAAAGAGTATTTTCAAATCGAGCACATGTTTAAACTGTAAAATCTCGTTGAACAAATTAACAACATTGTGGGTCATGGGAGACGTGCATTTTATTATATTATTTTTTAGACCATTATTTCAGCGCCACAGGATTGATCACATTTCTGGAATACACAATTTTGACGCCTTTTTTTTTGAACGACACATTCATCCGACGCCATTTTGAACCTCCATATTGCTTGCTATGTTTTTTTGTGTTTGTCTGGGGGAACGTAAAACGATGGCCCACAATGCAGCTGAATAACTTCACTTTTAAAAATTAACCAATAACTCGAATGAACATAAAATATCAAACTCATGTAATTTTGTTTTGCAAGTTTTGACCTCATGCAATTTTTCTCTATCTCATAATTTTAAGTTCAGTAATTTTCTTTGTGGTATAATTTAAATTGAACGTAAATTTTCATGCTCTGCATTCCTAATCTCACATAACTTTTTATCTTTTTGTTTTCATAAATCTTTGCTAGTTTTTTTGATTTGTAAATATTTTGTTGATTAATGCTTCCATCATATAATTATCTGATGTCCAATCTTAATCTGAGATAAGAATTCTTTGTTGTTTCAAATTTCACAGGAGTGTATGGCGAATTTAAATGTTGTTTATTGTTCTTTGAAACTTTGACACTTGTCCAGGGGTAGTTTAACATCAGAGTCATAGAAATTCAATATTAAAAATGGAATTGAGGTTAAATAACACCGAAATACGTGGCAGAAGCGGAGGGCGCGGTTCCTAGTCGAGCTAGCGGGATTTATCGCGGCATTTGCACAAGGGATGTAGGCTTTGTATAGAAGTCAGAGGGGTCGAGATGACGTGACGTTGTCGACTTGGCCCAATAGTTGAGACCCAACCGCAATTTTGCGACCGTAACGGCCTTCTGTTGTCACATCGGAGATTTGACATGTTTAAAGGCTTCTTGAATTTTTCTGAACAAATTCATCAAATTTCGAAATTTATGGACTCATTTTGTTCTTTGTTTTGTTCTGTTTTAATTATTTTTTATTCACTTTCACAAAGTTTTACTTTATAGTGTGAATAGTAAACAACTATTTACGTTCTTTTTTTTTGTTGTTGGACAGTATAAAAGAAATCATCAAACTAAAACATAATGAAACTATAATAGAGAGCAGTGAAAAAATACTGAAAGAAAGTTTAAAAAAACTAGAAATACGAGTAGGATATATGTAGAAACCGGAGTTACAGTATTGTTCAAAAAGAAAATTTGTGATTATATTTACGGCGATAGCAAGGTTTAAAAAAGTTATGTAATATTTCATATTTGTGTTTTAGTACTTTGGTATACGTGAGAATATAAATTTCAGTAGACAAATTATTATATTATGATTGCTGGAATGTAGAAAGGTCACGATTGTTGATAATTTATGATGATTACTTTAATATTACCAATAAAATTGACTACTAATTTTACCAGTAGTGTTTCTAGAGAAAATTTTATCAACCAACATTTCATCACTTAAGTAAATGTAAATTTGAAATACGCGAGGCATGCGCATAAAGTGATAGGCGGCACGCTTCCATTACCTATTTCGACCCTATAATCATTTATAGAAACCCTGTATAGCATTCTTAGGTTGTACTAACTCTCCGATAGCCAAAACTTAATGTGTTAATTTTAGTTCATCATTAGCAGCTAGAACAATTGCTTGTCCTAGGAGGAGCAAAACTCCACTACAAACACAACTAAAAATTTACTTGACATAATCTTTTCCAAGGATCTTTTTTATTCTCATCTTCGTCTGACATTGAAATTCCTACCCAGACAGATGCACCCGTAAACACATGGCGCATTTTTTCTAGTTACGATTTAAATGTCCACAATAAATCTGGCTCCATAAACTGCATCCATCTCGTTTATGATGCAAAAAAACCATGACGTAACGATAACCTTGTGGCAATTACTGAACGAAATCAGCTAGGATCATTTTTTGCTTTCTAACGATCGACGAACACTCACTTAAGTGCCTAAATCCACTTAAAAGTGCTAACTCGCTCTATTGCAACCAACAGCCTGATTGAAATGATTTGCTCGTAATAAGGTTAATAAGGGTTAAAGTTTAAAATCCACTTCGCACTCTGCATTAAACAGAGCCCGAAGCTCCGTCGTCCGCATCTTTTATTTAAACCTAAAGTCTATTATCATTCCCGGCTTTATTACTTTAGCAAGTTCGGAATCAACGTTTTTATTAAATTTTAACGAGCTGCGCAGCTACACTACAATAAAACACCAGTCCCCGACTTCTCCATTCTCGCAACAATCCCAAAACTTCACAACACTAAATTCCGTACGGGTGTGTGGGGAAAAATGCAAATAAAAACACAAACTAAATAAAAACAATTTAATCAACTCGTATATCTGAACACACAACTACATTAAATAAAAATTTCGGCTTAAATAAAATTCAACAAATGTCGGAATTACGTAGGTAGGAATCACAATTTGCCTTCATGCAATCAGTACGAAAACACATAGGAATCTTTGGTCAGGGTAACTCACCGGCTTGCAGCGGAACTAGATTCGGGAGTTCTAGGTGCTGTGGGCGTGTTTAACATGTCTAGAGAGTTCGAGGGGTTTAAACTAGAGTGGTTGTTAGGGTCGCAGGCTTCCTCGTCAAAAAACCTACAACGTACACGTATAGGGGGCGGTCGGATCGGCGGACAGAGGCGAGTACCTGAAGTTGTAGCCGTCCTCCTCGAGGGAGGTGTCGCTGTCGTCTGCAGCGATGTATTGTACTTGTAAGGTGCAGTCGCCGGTTTGCTGCTGGAGGATGTCCACGGCCTCCCGGTGACAGGCTTGCCGAAGGTCCCTGTCGTTCACCGACAAGATGGCGTCCCCGATGTACAGCTGCTCGGACAAGGCCGCCGGACCGTTGGGCTCCAGCTCGGAGATCAGGATGGGGACGCCGTGCTCTCGGCCACCCTAAGGCAAACGTATTTGTGACAATCTATTTCTATCCTACTTGATTATTATTATTATTACCATCATTAGTGATCCATGAATACAAAAACAATAATAAAAAAAAAACATTTTGTATGTGCTAATGGAACATTGTTTAGAAATTTTTGTGGTGACGTCATCAAAATTTTCAATATTTCGATTTTACAATAATTTTCGTGTTTTCGACCGCAATTTTTCGATCTTCAAGTTTCTCAATTTTTAATCTTTCGATTTTTGAATTTTCCGTTTCTTCAATTTTTCAAGTTTTTAGATTTCTCGAAGCTTTCATTTCATACTTTTGCGTTTTTTCATTTTGAGTTTTCAATTTTACAATATTTCTATTTTATAATTTTTCCATTTTGTTTATTCGGAAAGTGGAAAATTCGAAAAATTGAAAAATCGATAAAACGGAAAATTGAATGGAATTTGTTAAGCCTCGATTTTTAAATTTTTTTAATCTGTCTTTCAATGTTTCTATTTTTGGAATTTTCTATTTCTCATATCTCGGTTTATCGAGTTTTTTAGTTTTTCCATTTTTCCGTTTATCCTTTTTTTAAGTAAATATTTCAACTTTGAATTTTTCGATTTCGGCCCATTTCGATTTCTCGATCTTTTGAAGTCTCAAGTTTTCGATTTCGATTTCTTGGTTTTTCGATTTTCCGGATTTTCGATTTTTCTAGTACATATTTTTAATTTTTTTAATTTTTCATTTTTTCCTTTACCTTTATTTTTTCAATGTTGTTTTGGATTTTATAATTTTTCGTTTATTCAATTTTTTACATTTTCATTCTTAGATTTTTTAAGGTCTTGATTTCCGATGTTTTTATTTTTCGAAGCTTTCATTTTGTACTTTTTCGTTTTTTCAGTTTTACAATTTTTCTATTCTATAATTTTTCGATTTTGTTTATTCGAAAAGTTGAAAACTCGAAAAACTGGAAAATCGAGAAATTAAAAAAAATTGAAAAAAAAAATCGCAAAATCGAAGAGTGAAAACTGAAAAATTGAAACAACTAAAAACCGAGAAACGTAAAAATCTAAAAAAATTAATGAATCGAAGAATGGGAAAGAAGAAAAACCATTCAAATTGAAAAATTGGAAAATCCAAAAATTGCAAAATCGAAAAATTATAGAATCGTGAAAATTGTAAAGTCCAAAAACTGTGACATTCAAAGATCGAAAAATTGAAAATTTCCAAAAACGAAAAACTGAACAACTTTAAAAATTATAATTATTATTACATAATTAAAATGAAAAGTAGAAAAACTGCAAATGAAAAATTAAAGAAACGGAAAATTGAAAGCGGCAAATTGAAAAAATAAAGAAAATTAAAAACCCACACGAAAAATTGACGAAATTAAAAATTCAAAACTCGTGAAATTTGCAAACTCTAAAATTTGAAACATCCAAAAGTTGGAAAATCAAAAACTGAAAAATCGAAATTTTGGAAAATCGAAAAACTGAGAAATTCAAAACTGAAAAAAGATCGAGAATTCAAGATGTCGAAAAATCTAAATATCTGAAATTTAAAAAATTGAAAAATTACAATAACGAAAAATTTAAAGTAAAGAAATTAACACGTCAAAAAATCCAAAAATTTGACATTAAGAAAAACCCAAAATTAAAAAGTCGAAAAATCGAGAAATTGAAAAATGAAAATTTAGAAAAGCCAACGATTGAAAAACATCAAAAAAAATTTCTTAATATACACAGTATTCTTTGAAGAACACGATACTGAAAAACATGTTTATAATTTCTAGTAAAGAAATAAGCATTTTGCAGTTAAGCTCCGCCCCCTCGGTTCACGACGAATAAAAAAAATCATCACAATTGAGATAGGGCGGGTGGGCGGGCCAATTTTCAATATTTCGATTTTACAATAATTTTCGTGTTTTCGACCGCAATTTTTCGATTTTTAAGTTTCTCAATTTTTAATCTTTCGATTTTTGAATTTTCCGTTTCTTCAATTTTTCAAGTTTTTAGATTTCTCGAAGCTTTCATTTCATACTTTTGCGTTTTTCATTTTGAGTTTTCAATTTTACAATATTTCTATTTTATAATTTTTCCATTTTGTTTATTCGGAAAGTAGAAAATTCGAAAAATTGAAAAATCGATAAAACGGAAAATTGAATGGAATTTGTTAAGCCTCCATTTTTAAATTTTTTTAATCTGTCTTTCAATGTTTCTATTTTTGGAATTTTCTATTTCTCATATCTCGGTTTATCGAGTTTTTTAGTTTTTCCATTTTTCCGTTTATCCTTTTTTTAAGTAAATATTTCAACTTTGAATTTTTCGATTTCGGCCCATTTCGATTTCTCGATCTTTTGAAGTCTCAAGTTTTCGATTTCGATTTCTTGGTTTTTCGATTTTCCGGATTTTCGATTTTTCTAGTACATATTTTTAATTTTTTTAATTTTTCATTTTTTCCTTTACCTTTATTTTTTCAATGTTGTTTTGGATTTTATAATTTTTCGTTTATTCAATTTTTTACATTTTCATTCTTAGATTTTTTAAGGTCTTGATTTCCAATGTTTTTATTTTTCGAAGCTTTCATTTTGTACTTTTTCGTTTTTTCAGTTTTACAATTTTTCTATTCTATAATTTTTCGATTTTGTTTATTCGAAAAGTTGAAAACTCGAAAAACTGGAAAATCGAGAAATTAAAAAAAATTGAAAAAAAAATCGCAAAATCGAAGAGTGAAAACTGAAAAATTGAAACAACTAAAAACCGAGAAACGTAAAAATCTAAAAAAATTAATGAATCGAAGAATGGGAGAGAAGAAAAACCATTCAAATTGAAAAATTGGAAAATCCAAAAATTGCAAAATCGAAAAATTATAGAATCGTGAAAATTGTAAAGTCCAAAAACTGTGACATTCAAAGATCGAAAAATTGAAAATTTCCAAAAACGAAAAACTGAACAACTTTAAAAATTATAATTATTATTACATAATTAAAATGAAAAGTAGAAAAACTGCAAATGAAAAATTAAAGAAACGGAAAATTGAAAGCGGCAAATTGAAAAAATAAAGAAAATTAAAAACCCACACGAAAAATTGACGAAATTAAAAATTCAAAACTCGTGAAATTTGCAAACTCTAAAATTTGAAACATCCAAAAGTTGAGGAATTCAAAACTGAAAAAAGATCGAGAATTCAAGATGTCGAAAAATCTAAATATCTGAAATTTAAAAAATTGAAAAATTACAATAACGAAAAATTTAAAGTAAAGAAATTAACACGTCAAAAAATCCAAAAATTTGACATTAAGAAAAACCCAAAATTAAAAAGTCGAAAAATCGAGAAATTGAAAAATGAAAATTTAGAAAAGCCAACGATTGAAAAACATCAAAAAAATTTCTTAATATACACAGTATTCTTTGAAGAACACGATACTGGAAAACATGTTTATAATTTCTTGTAAAGAAATAAGCATTTTGCAGTTAAGCTCCGCCCCCTCGGTTCACGACGAATAAAAAAAATCATCACAATTGAGATAGGGCGGGTGGGCGGGCCAATTTTCAATATTTCGATTTTACAATAATTTTCGTGTTTTTGCCCGCAATTTTTCGATTTTTAAGTTTCTCAATTTTTAATCTTTCGATTTCTAAATTTTCCATTTCTTCAATGTTTCAAGTTTTTAGTTTTCTCGAAGCTTTCATTTTATACTTTAGGATAAGACTGATTTTGGCAAATAATATACCCTCTAATAAAAGAGAGGGTGGGTGGGTGGGGCTAATACCTGCTAAGATAAAAATAATTCTGGCAAACGAGATATCCTCTACGAAAAGAGAGGGTGAGTGGGTGGGGCTAGTAGCTGCTAGGATGAGACTGATTTTGGCAAATGAGATCTTTCTAAGAAAATAGACGGCGGATGGGCGGGGCTATTACCTGCTAAAATCAGTTTTATCTTATCAACTCCTAGCCCCGCCCACCCACCCTCTCTTTCCTTACATGGTATCTCATTTACCAAAATCAGTCTTACCCTTAGATCATATAATAAATAGATACCAATACTCAAACTGAAAGGTGTGACTAGACATGAAGCTATCTGTTGTCGTTTTCTACGTCAAGGGGAGTAGTATAATGCTATCCTTGTGTGATCACCACATCTTCATCTTTGTTATATGCATTTCATCTGTATATGTCTATTTCACTTCCATCCTTGTACCGCACCAGCGCAACAAATCGCTTTTGACAGATGTTTCTTCTAACCTCTCTTTCGAGTTGTTGTACAAAAAACAATTTTAGAATTTAGAACAAAGATCCTATTTTAAGTGATGTCATAAAAGATCACAATACTATTGCTTTCGTTATCTACTGTGAATTATTTATAAAATCAAGCTGTCAACATCTTTCGTACGAAGTTAGTTCAGACATACTTCCTAAAATTTAGGCGCGCAAAATTCAAATAGTGATCAGGCAAGGATAGCTTCATTGTAATCCCTCCATGCACGAGAGAGATGTGTGACAGGAGGATGTCGTCACAGGCTGTCCTAGGGAAAGAACACGGCATGGTGGTATCTATTTATTATATGATCTAAGGTCTTACCTTAGCAGATGTTAGCCCCGCCTACCCACCCTCTGTTTTATTAGAGGGTATGTCATCTGCCAAAATCAGTTTTATCTTAGCAGTTACTAGATAGGATAAGACTGATTTTGGCAAATAACATACCTTCCAAGAAAAGAGTGGGTGGGTGGGCGGGGCTAGTACCTGTTATGATAAGACTGATTTTGGCAAATGAAATACCCTCTAAGAAAAGAAAAGGTGGGTGGACAGGTCTCGTACCTGTTAGGATAAAACTGATTTTGGCAAATGAGAAACCCTAAGAAAATAGAGGGCGGATGGGCGGGGCTAGTACCTGCTAAAATCAGTTTTACCTTAACAGCTACTAGCCCCACCCACCCTTTCTTTTCTTACAAGGTATCTCATTTGCCAAAATCATTCTTACCTTATCAGGTGCTAGGGACTCGATTACAATACTCT